AGTGGAGGCATGTTACAAAGGCAATAGTCAGAATACAAGCATTTCCTTGTTTGTTCCCACTACAGATAAGGAGGCATTGTGGTCAAAAATCATCATAAAAGGAGAAATTCTAAATTTTATTGATACTTGTTATTCAAGTTATTGAATGTATGTTATTCAGGCCATTTGGCCCAACTATGCCACAGTTTATACTCTGCATGAGCCTCCGCCCTTCTAAATCCTTCTCACATACTCCTCTATTTCCCTTTTCCTCATGTATACATCAAGGTTCCTTTAAATACATTAATGGTTTCTGCTTCATTCATAGTTTCCAGCAGTGAGTTCTACTTCATCACCACCAGAAATAGATCTAGAACTGTAAAAATGTCATCTGTCTTATTTGCAGTACTTTACATTAACTCTACTGGCATAATATATTCACTCAGTACCATTGTAAATAATATTTTGGATTTGCTTCCTTTTCATTGAACTACACAAGCGGCCAATCCAGCAAGAGCTAGCAGAGCTTTAGAAAATGCCTTATTATCTGGTTAGCAGCTGCGCAAATAAATCTCTAAGTCTTGTGTTTGACTAACATAAAATCAGTCCAAAGCTTTCCAATTCTGGGTTCTGATGTGGAGACATTTCCACTTATGTCCTGAATACTTTGCGAACTGTAAATTCCACTCAATGGAACTGATTATTCATTGTACACAAGTATAGGCAAAAAAATCTCAGCAAACATTTCCATTTCCAGTCTTATTATTGTGGAGGTAAATGTATTCTGTGTCTGGCAAGAAAGTTAAACCCTCCAATCTGACCTTTCAGCACAACCTTTACTGTCTTTTAAGATTGTATTGATACAGCAATCATCATTCCTCTTCTTAACATTCCTGCCTTGTTCTTCCGAGATTCTTTTCTATGTGCCTATCTCTCTCACTGTAATGTTCACTCTTATAATCATGGTGTTGTAATTGAAAAGGTGAAGGGAGTTTTTCACAGAGTTCCAGTCAATAATCTCCCAGATAAAAATTAGTTATTTACTTCATGGCTGTTGTGAAACATTGCTTTGTGCAAATCAGCTGCTCCTTTCGCATACAAAATGGATAGTCACTACACACTACAGTAAATTCTATGAAATTCTTTGAGACTCTTCCTGACAGGAAAGGCACAATGTCAAATAGAAAGACTACGGTAACAACATAAGAACCAAAACCACTCTATCCTGCTCTTACTCATTCCTTCCTCCTACCAGCCTTTTAAACCCACTTGGTTCCATACAGTTCTTTCTTGACATATTTTCTTTTCCACTGTACAGCCCTCAAGTTTTACCAAGTTTGGTCAATAATAAAAGAACACCCAATGTTTTCAGAGTCTGAATCTATAAGATACAAAATAATGATAAGCAGAAGAGTTAATAAAAGCAAAAAATCATTGTNAAAACAAATGGATTTTACTTCATATTAAAGTATTATATGAATGCCATACTATTAAATAATTAATATTATTTAGATTATAGAAAAACATGCGTTAGGAACATAGGAAAACAGGAACAGAAGCAGGTCATTCAGTCCATTTAACCTGTTCCTCCATTTTGTGGAGTCCTGTAGATCAGTGGTTAGAGCACTCGCCTCGCAAGCGAGAAACCTGGGTTTGATTCCAGGTAGGGCAAAACCTTGGGCAAGTTTCCTTACTCCACACACCTGATAATAATCCCTCAATAAAAATAATAAAATTGGTCACTTCAATCCATGACTGTTTGTGGGACACTGCTGTGCGCAATTGGCTGCCACGTTTTGCCCACAAATATACAGTCAATCACTTTGCAGCATATTCTGTGAAGCGCTTTGAGACGTCTAGAAGACATGCAAAGCGCGATATCAAATGCTAAAATTATTATATACATATTATTATCATATGTTAAGCGCTTTGAGACAATGTCCGGTGTGAAAGGTACTATATAAATGCAACTTGTTGTTTTATTAGATCTTGTCAGATCTGTTAATTCCAATGCCTCACTCTTTTGTCATACTCCTTAATATTCCTCTACAACAACATTAACAACTTGCACTTATATAGTGCCCTCCATATAGGTAGCGCCTCAGAACGCTTAACAGCCAATTTACATAACAATGTCCCACAAACAGCCCTGAAGCGAATGACCAATTTTGTCTGGGAGATTGTTGGTGAGGACACAACAGAAACTCCCTGTCTTTGTGAATAATATTTTTTAAATAATGAATAACAATAATAATCCTTGCATTTGATATTGCACCTTATCAAGTCATCAAGATGTCTCAAAGTGCTTTAGAGGATATATTGTAAAGTGGATTAATTGTGTATTTTGTGAGGGAACATGGCAACCAATTTGAACACAGCAGTGTCCCTGAAACAGCCATGGGATCTTTAACCTTCACCTGAACAGGCAGACAGGATCTATTTAACATCTCATCCAAAGGACAGCTCACCAAAAATGCAGCACTCCCCCAGCCCTGTAGTGGAGCGTTAATCAAGACTTGTGTATTCAAAATTCCAATATGGAACTTGAACACACAATCTTCTGACTCAAAGATAAGAGTGCTACGAACTGAACAAGGCTGACGGTTGACAATCTATTCTATGTTTAGAATAGAGGGTACATTTGTAACAAAATTATATTTGTATAGCTCTTTCACATCGGAAGGATGTCTCTAGGCACTGGACAATCAGTAACCCGCGCTGGTGGGGTGTCGGGAAAGGGAGAGTGGAGAGCAGGGGAGGAAGGCAGGTGATTGAAAGCACGGTCGAAGAGGAGAGTCTTGAAATGGGTCTTGAAGAAGGCAAGGGAGGGAACGAGGTGGAGGGACTGCAGGTTGGCATTCCAGAGGGTGGGGGCAGAGTGGAAGAATGCCCGCCCGCCCGCCAATAGTGGGGCGAACGAGGCGGGGACGTGAAGCAGCCCGGAGCATGCTGAGCGGAAGGAGCGAACAGGATGGTAGGGGATTAGGAGGTCACAGAGGTAGAGGGGAGCAAAACCATGGAGGGCTTTGAAGGTGAGGACCAGGATCTTGAACTGTATCCTCTGTGTGAAGGGAAGCCAGTGGAGTCGGGCGAGAATAGAGGTGATAGGGTCAAAGAGACTGGTGCGGGAGAGGACACAAGCTGCAGAGTTCTAGATGATCTGCAGCCTATGGAGGGAAGAGTTGGGAAGCCAACAAGCAGAGACTTTGGATAGTCAAGCCTGGATGTTATGAATGCGTGCACGAGGGTCTCAGCGGCCTCAGACACTGACAGCATCACCATCCATGGTTGCACACACCACCTTATTAAGCCAGTCTGGAAACTTGGCATCTTGATTGACCCTTAACTATCCTTTCTACCCCACATCCGTGCCTTCCCCCACCTCCACAACATTGCCCGGCTCTGCCACTGTTTCACACCACAGGCCGCCAAAACCCTCATACAGCTTTCGGTACATCGAAAGCCTGGGTCCGAAACCCTGTCTGTCCAGCACCTTGGGACATCTTCCCAGCATAAAAGGCGCTATACAAATGTAATTTTCTTGTTGTTGTTGTACTTAGTGAGGATTTTTTTCAAATAACCATAAAAAGAATATATTCAATATTGGAAAGTTTAAAGTAATGCAATGTTTCTTGCATTCAAACTAAGCAGGCTTTGTTTGATTGACACCTTGATCTAAGCTAAATCAAGACATTGCAATTCACTGCGCAGATTTCTTAAAGGCTTGAAAGAAGCCATCGATATAACCTTGTTCATCTTCCACATGTGCCATCGTCCATTCACCAGCCAGTTCGATTGAATCTAGATGATTTGTTTAAGAAATAAAGAAGAGGTGAAATTGAGAGGATATAGCTCATCAAATTCCAGGACTGATGCATGACAGTATTCTTGTTGAAATGGCAAATTTAACATCAGTGTGGAAGAAGTGCCTGATCGAGTCCCAGAGGATCAAATTCTATTACAATTGAGATGTAGTGTAAGCCTTGCCCATCACAACTGTGTCCTTGAAAAAAGAAAAGAATCCCCCAATATTACTTTGTAATCATTTTGTTCTGTCTACCAATTTTTGTAAGTAAAGCTTTTGTTTATTCTATTTAAAGAAACAGTGTGAAGATTCAGTGCCGAAGGCAGATATTAGACATCTTGTACCAAATGGTTCAACGGTAACAACAATTACATTTATATAGGGCCTTTCGCTTTGTGAGGTCGTCTCAAAGCGCTTTGACTGTATACTCAAATAGTTATAAGATCAATGAGGAATCCTCTGTATGCATGTGTTTACACATAGTCTACACAAATTGCAAAATATACAAGGTTTACACAACTTGCATAACAGACACCATTACCTAATTTAGTAACCCATGGTCGCAAGTGATCTTTTCTGTGACATCACAGTATTTACTGGGCTCTTTAATATAAGATAAAAGAAACCTGAAAACAATTTATGCATGTTAAATATTTACATTTTCAGTTTAACTACATTTAGGACAATGTGTGAACACCAATTTCTTACCAGCTGTAAAAAAAACTTACACAGCAAACCCAAAGGTATCAAACATTGTATTAGATTGACTAGAATATGTAGAAATGATAACACTTTATAGCAATTATAAAACATTAGTTTAAAAATGCTGAGCCTGTCGGTTCCAGGCGCTGGGAGATGCAGCCACGACCTCTAGTCCTGGAGTTTAAGGGAAGGGCCACCTGGAGATAGAGGGAGACCCTGAGCCTGGCACCAGGACAATGGAATATGTGTGTGAAAGCTTTTTCTTGTAGACTGGTTACACTCTCAAGGACAGTACTGAGATACGGTTAAGCCTGTCTCAATTCCAGATGGCCAAAAAGCAGAGAACCTCGTTGACCTCGTTGATCAGGTTAGACAGGACAAAGGAAGAATAAAATTCTGGAGACCATAATCTTATCTGGCCGGAGCAAAGGTTAGAGAGGAATTTAGTATAATTGGGGTGCCACTGAACAGAGAGGGGTGGAAGCAGGGAGAGAGATACTAAGAGAGCTGTGGAAGCAGGGAGAGAGAGACAAAGAGAGAACGTGAGTATTGCAAAAGCTTGAGCCTGAGAAGCCGACATGAAAGACTGCGATCAGCCTACAGACTGCATAGAACTGGTAGTATGACTATTTACCGCTTTTGCTAAATGCTCATAAACTGTTTGTGAATAATAAACCATTATACCTTTGTTAAGGATTGTTGAGTCATTATTTTGAATCCTCGAGATCGGCATATCCCAACAATTGTAACAGTTGTGACACCTCTGTGCGCAATTGGTTGCCATGTTTCTCCCACAAATATACAGTCAATTCAGTTTACAGTATATTCTATGAAGCATTCTGAGACGTCTCGATAAGGCGCTGTATCAAATGCAAAGATTATTATTATTATTATGAAAAGTACTGCTGTTCAGTACAGTTCGTGCGATAGCAGTTTAACTAAGGTTGAGTTAAGCTGGTATTGTGTAAAGCAGCATTGCAACACCAACTTAGGTTTAGGTCTCTGATATATATATGGACACCTATCCCCCTGCTTAAGAGTATCCAAACCAGACTGAGAGTTCTACATATGTATTCCACCTACACATGGAAATGCCTCTGTATCTGGAATGGAATGCACACCCTCTCCCTGGAGGGATAGACCGTGCTTGCGTAATTCTGGAGACTGTTGGACGCATGTTAGCGAGAGCTAAAGCACGGGGTCCCCAGAATGTGTGTCAAGATACTGCTGGGGTTTATCCAGCTAAAATCACATAGATTGCCATTGGGAACACTGTCTGGCAACCTTCCTGCTGTTCATCTATCTAGAACCACTCTGCCCATTAGGGCATTGACTTGTAGAATTAACAGGAGCCGAATAACAAAAATCACTCCCCCCAGTGGCAAAGCTGGTCAAGTCCAGTCTAAGTCCAGTCGACAAGCCAGACTGGCTGGTATGTCATCAGCAGTGTGTCGGTGTATAGCAGGTGCACCTGACTTGAACTACCAAAACTATCACAGAGGATACACTCGATCTCGACTTTCCATTGTCAAGCACGTCACCTTGGAGTCAGTACAGTTCTGAGGAGACCCTATAGTTGCCAAAAGAACCAGAGGGGAGGGGAGGAGAAAGTTTTTCACACAAGGAGTCGTTCGGATCTGGAATGCATTGCCTGAAAAGATGGTGGAAGCCGATTTGATTACAACTTTCAAGAGAGAAATAGATAGATATTTGGGGAGGACAAATTTGCAGGGCTATGGGGAGAGAGTGAGGGAGTGGGACTAATTTGAATTTTCTTTCAAAGAGCAGGCACGGACACGATGGGCCAAATGGCCTCTTTCTGTGCTGTATAATTCTATGATTCTATTTACCTCCCTCACAAAGAGGATAGTTACAAGTTGGTTATTCAACAGCAATCGCAGCCAATATTGGGAACAAAGATGACTCAGAAGCATTGAATGCCGACGCATTATACACTGAAGTCCGAGTTCATAGATTCAAGACCAACACCTTATAATGTTGGTCTTGTAAGGTAGCTTATAGATGAAATAATGGAAACATGTCTTACCAAAGTTTGGATTTAAAGATATAGAAGTACATTCAGCCTCATCTTTAAAATCTGACCTTTCAAAAGCAAAGATTTAGAAAAGATAAATGGATAAACGTATCTGAACAGTTGTCAAATAGTTTATTCACTTATCGAAAAGGCAAAAATGGATGATTAAGCAAAAAGTCTGCAAATCTGTTTTGAAAAGCGCACAAGTTAAAAGGAAATTATTATTCACTAGAGGGAAAGGTCACTGTATGTACCTTTCCAATGCTACTTAAAGCAAAGATCCAGATGTCATCTTTTGAGAGGTACGAGCACACTTCCAATGGCAGCATATAATTCAACATGTGAAGGGCAATTACTAAAGTCAGACTCAGAAAAGACCTTACATGTGCTGAAACAAACTTTAGGTGACATTCCTACAAGTATCTAAAAGAATTTTTTGAAACAAAAATATCATCTACAATAAAATACCAATTTGAAAGAAATTAAAATATAAAAAAAAAGCGTCTTATTGTGTAACTGAATCTAAGAAATATTAGGAAAAGGAAAAGTGCCACAGGGGTCATTCAGAATTTAATTACCTCTTGTTCAGTGAAAAAAAGCATGATTTCAGTTGTAAAAACCAGTTGCAATAATCTGCGTCAACCAATTAAACAGAACCATAGTTGTTGGTTGTCATAATACAATACACAATTAAATTTGCATAGTGCCTTTCACATCGGGAGGATGTCCCAAGGTGCTGGTTCTGTTCATTCCAATTCTGTCCTTTTATATCAGTTGCATAGTCAAGCACATTAGTTATATGCTCTACTATGTGCATACTCCTGTATTCCTGTGGAGTCCTGTAGCTCAGTGATTAGAGCCCCCCGCCTCACAAGCGAGAGACCTGGGTTCAATTCCCCGCAACAACAACAACAAAATTACATTTGTATAGCTCCTTTCACATCGGGAGGATGTCCCAAGGCGCTGGACAGACAGAGTTACGGACCCGAGCTGGGGTTTGAGGTGGGGGAGGGTGGAGGGCAGGGGTGAAGCAGGGAGATCGAAAGCACGGTCAAAGAGGAGGTTCTTGAGATGGGTGTTGAAGGTGGCGAGGGAGTAGGGAGGGACTGCGGGATGGAGTTCCAGAGGGTGTGGGCAGAGTGGCAGAAGGCCCGCCCGCCAATAGTGGGGTGAGCAAAGCGGGGGACATGAAGCAGGCCAAAGCCCGCTGAGCTGAAGGAGCGAACAGGATGGTAGAGGGTTAGGAGGTCGAAGAGGTAGGGGGAGCACGACCATGGAGGGCTTTGAAGGTGAGGACCAGGATCTTGAACTGTATCCTCTGTGTAATGGGAAGGTCAAAACCTTGGGCAAATTCTCCTACTCCACACGTCTGATAATAATCCCTCAAGAAGAAAAAAACAATAATAAATTGGTCACTTCAATTCATGGCTGTTTGTGGGACACTGCTGTGCGCAATTGGCTGCTGCGTTTCACCCACAAATATAGAGTCAATTCACTTTACAGTATATTCTGCAAAGGGCTTAGAGATGTCTAGAAGACATGAAAAGCGCTATATCAAATGCAAGGATTATTATTATGATAGGCATCTCTTGACGTAGCAAGTAAGTCATGCAAACCAGATAGATGGTCACCAGTGTGATTCCCAGACTGTGCCGAAAGCCTATTTAATTTTAGCCAGGGCAACAGTTCTAGGGTGCAATTATACAACATGATAAAATGCAAACATTAGTATTATATTATTATATTGATAATGATAATAACAATGATAATCTTTGCATATTTTATAGCGCCTTAGAGACATCCCAAAGGCGCTTCACAGAATATACGGTAAGTTAATTTACTATATGTATTTTGTGTGCGAAGTGTGGCAGCCAATTGGGCACAGCAGTGTCCCACGAAGAGTCGTGGATTGAGTGGGCAATTTATTACTAATTTTTTTTTAAACTTTCAGCCACCATGCCATTTTTGCTCGGGAACTCTATGCAATAAAACTTTGTTGTATTACTTCTCTCATTACCCTCGCAAGTCTCCTAAAAGTGTACCTCTTTAACAATGCCTTTGGTTGATATTGATAAAACTCTTATTTTCTCCTCAATCTACACCAGTACATTTGTCAAGTATTTTCAGTGCCGTTTACATGAAAGATGCTCTATGAATGAACATCAATATCTAGACACAACACGTACAGAATGGCTTAACTCAACACATACAGACATACATACAAGGATCTGGAAAGCTTTCCTTGCTTCCTGGAAAAGAAGAGGGGTATAGGCCAGAATAAAACTGAAATGTATTTTATTGATCGGAAACCAAAGGTGAAAGATATGAAAACAGCAGCTCAGAAATATGCACAATATATAATTATACTACACATTATTGACAGGCTGGACACTAAACTCTGTACCCCCATCATATGAGTGCCAGCCAGACTCTACTGGCTCCCTATCATCAAACGGATCAATTGCAAGATCCTCACACTCATCTCCAAATCTTTTCATGCCCTGGCACCTCCCAACGTCTCCGACCTGCTTACTCCCCAATCCACTACCTACTGCTTCCGTTCAACTGGCTCCGGCCTTCTGCATGTCCTTCGTCCTCTCCGTTCCACTATCGGTGGCCACACTTTCAGCCACGAAACTCTGGAACACTCTTCCTCTATCCCTCCATGTTGCCTCCTCCTTCCTTATCTTCAGATTGTGCCTGAAAACCTTCCTCTTCAACCATGTCCACAGTTACCTCCCCCTCTCACGGCATTTTGTTCCACCACTGTCAAGCTCTCTGTAAATGCAAGTTGTTGTTGTTGATATTATTACATTCACATTTCCCTTATTACGATGTCCTTACTTCAGTTGAGATTTTAAACAAATGTTCCGTCTGTGTTAATGTGAATGTTAAAGACCCCACGGCACTAATTGAAAAGAGAAGGGAGTTCCTCCTTGCGTTCTGGCCAACAATCTCTCAGGTAAAGTTAGTCATTCACTTAAAAGCTAATCAATAATAATAATAATAATCCATGAATTTGATGTAGCGCCTTGTCACGTATTTGTGGGATGTTGTGTGCAAAATGGCTGCCAAGTTTACCAAAAAAAATCACTGCACTTTATCCTATGAAACATTTTGAAACAACTTCCCAACGTAAAAAGCCTTCTATCAAATGCAAATATTATTATTATTGCAATTTAGATCACTCTGTACAGGTAGCTCCTGTGAAGTTTTCAGTGATGCCTCAGCCAGACCAATAACACTGCCACGTTACACTTCATTGGATATTATTTTTCTATGTATATGTGAACTTCCCAAAATAACTACTTGTGCAGAAGATAAACATTTTTTACATTAGGTATTTTGTCAAGCCATTATTATTGTTACTATTATTACAAAACCAGGGGCGGGTTTATTCACTTGCTTACTTCCCTGAAAACATTGTAATCTTGGGCAATTAGTTTTCTGGAAAGAACATTTTATAAAGTGGAAGAATTAGCCTTCCTCACATTTAATATAAAATAAAAAATTGTATACTAGTAAGAAAGAGACTTGTGAGAGTCTGCCAGAAAGAGTGAAAGCGCTCGTCTGCAATTAGTTTGAAACAACTATGATGAGAACAGTTGGATTAATCCAAGATGCTTTGACTCATTGGCTCCCACTCAGCCTTGCTTCCTATAATGGTGAGAGAAGAATGAGCCACAAATGCTTTCCTCTTGTCCCCTGACATTGGGTGGTGCTACTTTCAGTTCCTGCTGCCAGGAGTAGCTAGACATTTTAAAAAATTATAATAAGTAGCTTTTCAAATTATCCTCAATTTTAATTAACATCTTATTCCCCTAGGTTGCTGCCTGCATACATTACTTCATCTTATGCTTTTTTTTTGGCCGATTCTTCTCTAAGTTTCTCCTCTCTGAAGGTCTTTTTCCTTCTATTGGCTTATAGTTCCACAGGCACCAGGTAACCTCTGGGCCCTCCCCAGAATGGCATTGTTCATGTGTCATCTTCAACAGTGAGTATAATAATAATATTAATAATAATCCTTGCTTTTGATATTGTACCTTTCATGTCAGGAGGATGTGCGTCTCAAAGTGTTTCATAGGATTTACTGTAAAATGTAGTAACTGGAAAATAATAATAATAATCTTTGCATTTGATATGGCGCCTTATGACATTGTCGAGACATCTCAAAGCATTTCACAGGATACAGTATTAATACAGTAGATTGACCATGTATTTTGTGGGTGAAAGCGATAGCCAGTTTATCCACAGCAATGTCCCACAAACACAAATGGAGTGAGTGACCAATTTTATTTGGTAAATTTGGTGGCCAGGGCATTTTTGAAGACAAATGTGCAGCCAATTCATGTGCAGTAATATCCCACAAACAGCCGCAAATTTAATGATCTGTTTGGTTTTGCCAGGACATTAGGAAAAGCTCCCTTCGCTTTTTTGATTGATGCTGTGGAACCTTTAACATCATGAACAGGTAGATGGGATCTCAGTTTCATGTCTCATCATCTCAAAGACAGGACTGCAGTGTCCCCTCAGTAAAAAAAGAATGACGTGTCAAGCAAAGGCAATATTTCATCTTTGGTTTTGTTACATTGTGATATTTAAAGCACCCTCATGGATATTATCAGATGATAATTCAAAAGAGAGCTTCAAATTTGTTAATAATTCACCATTAGTTTCTTGCTTCACATGTAGGTAAACTACTAACATGGCTTCACATCCGCCAATTCAAAGAATAACAGCTACTGCTCCAGTATTCTGGTTTAAGCATATTGGCATGTCCTCCTGTCATGAAAGGCACTATATAACTGTAATTCTTTATTGTACTGTATAATAGAATTAAATGGATCTTTATTGTTGTTCAAAATAACAATATCTGCAAAACTAAGACTGTGCTTTATTTTCCAATGCATTTTCTAACTAAAGTATAGGTTATATCAATCTTTTAATATGAAATCTTTCTCATGCTTACATGAAAAAGCTGATATCCATTGAAATAACTCCTTAACAGCAAGTTATTTTAAGCCTCACTAAAATTGTATCACTGCAAGCTAAATACCTAGGTTTACTAAAATATAATAGATGATTATTTGTAAATAAATCATTTTAATATATCCCTCTGGACATCCATGCTGTGAATAATATATGCATGGGACGTTTACCTGATTTTAATGTGACATTGAAGTCTAGTAGGATATTCCTATTAACATTACTTATTCCTAAAATCGATTTTATTGACAGTAACATGCATTTGATCTTAATACAGCAGCACTTGGTACGTAAAAGTGACTTATGGTTCAGCAACTCATTCTGGAAGTTCTGGAATGTATTAGTCCGAGAGATAACCTGTTCCAATATTCTAAAACTCTTTATTTCCTTAACTAACATCCAGAGGTTTGTTTTCTGTCGTGGTGATGATGGAATCCTTTATGGGGTGAAAATTGTGAAGTGTGACGCAAATTATCATCACTTCATCTAAAGTTGCAACTATGCAAATCGATAGTTATTTTCTGTCCACAGGTTAGATTGAGCACACCCCTCCCCCACTTCTCAGCGAGATGACCCAGGTTTGATTCCCAGCAGAACGAAACTTTAGGCAAGTTTCTTTACTCCACACTCCTCTGTTTATCTAGCAGTAAGTAGGAATCTGGTTGTTAGTCGATTGGCAAAACACTTTGTTGGAGTAATAATCCATTCAAAAAAATAATAATAATTTGGTCACTCAATTGACGAGTGTTTGTAAGACACTGCTGTGTGTAATTGGCTGCCGCGTTTTGCCCACAAAATATGCAGTCAATCCACTTTACAGTATATTCCGTGCAGCGCTTTGAATCAGTGTGATAAGACGCTATATCAAATGCCAGATTATTATAATTATCAAAATATAAACCCAGTTTATTGAAAAGTAGTTCATTGCACTTCTGGGGGAGCATCGCTTTGGATCAGACATTAAATTGAGGTCCCATCTGTATGTTCAGGTGAACATTAAACATTTACAAACATAATAAAATAAATCATATAGTAACACACTACTTAAGACTCAAAAATTCATCTCAAATTAGCCTGTGAGTAAATTTGGTCTTAAAAAATTGTGTGGAATTGTTTAAAATTCAGTCTTAATTTTTAAGCCGGCTCTTTTTAAGACCTGCAGAAAACTGTCTTCCAAATTAAGACTGGATTGAAGAATTCTCCACAATTCTGAAGGATGCAGTAAAAGTCATTAATTTACTGCATTTCCAACAAATTAATGTCTGTTTTTATAGTTGGTATGAAACAATGCTCCACATAGTATTTTGTTCTATTAGCTGCTGAGTCACTTGTGTGAATCATTTCGAGACATCCTCGTGACATGAAAGGCACTATATAAATGCAAATTGTTGTTATTGTTGTCCTACACGATATGACAAGGTGGAATGTTGTAATCACATCATCATTCATGCGCTTTGTGCTGACATCACAGGGTTTGAAGGCTTAATAGAGAATAGTTAATTGTGCCTAAATCCATTAATTCAACTCAGCTCTTTATTCCTGCCCATTTCTTATTTCACGGATTGAGAAAGCAGCAAGTACAATACACAGAGCACTGGGTTTAGCTCCTGAATCCTAGTTTAAGGCTTTAAAGCCGCTTTGGTGCCTGGATTTCAGAGCTGCATTATCAGTCAGAGCAGTTTCTGATCCTTTATCTAATTGTGTGCATGTGTGTGTATATATATATGTACTATCCAATACTGCCATCTAGAGGAGTCTTTAATATTGGACCCAATAACCATTGCAAAATACTACAAGGAACATTGTTTTCACACTAACCAGATAAAATACATTAATTTACTGGCATGTACTATAAAAATAATTGAGGATTACTCATTGTATGATGGGCATTGCACAGGGAAATTTCCATGTGTAGGTGGCATGCATATGTGGAACTCAGTCTGGTTTGGATATCCTGAAGTACGGTGATAGGTTTTCAGAAACAACAACAACAACTTGCATTTATATAGCACCTTGGATACTTAACAGTGGCAGAGCTTGACACCAAGCTGGGGAGAGTGAGGAGGTGACTGTAGACCGTGAAGTGAAAGACCTTGTGTGAGCTTAAGACAGGGAAGGAAGAGGCTTGTCAGAGGGATTGAGGAAGAGAGTTTCATAATTTGGGTGCATAGTGGCTGAAGGCACGGCCACTGATGGTGGAGCGGATGGGATAAGAAATGTGCAGAAGGCCGGAGCCAGCTGAGCAGAGGCTGCAGATAGTAAAGTGGGGTTCAGCAGGTTGAAGAGGTAGGGAGGTGCCAGGACATAAAGCGATTTGTAAAAAAGTGTGAGAAACCTGGCTGATCAAAGGAAAAATGAATTTGATCTCTCAAGGCAGCTGTTCATTTTTTTTCAGGGTTAACAGTTTTTTTTAAGCATCTGTATCTCTCATTTTTATTACATGAACAAGAAAGAAACCAAAGATGCTACAATTAGTTACTTGTATTCACAATCATATATTATGCACCCAAAATAATAATAATCCTTGCATTTGGTATACAATGTCCCAAAGTACTTCATAAAATCTACAGTAAGGTGCACTTTTTTGCATCGTGCAGTGACTGCGTGATTTGTGGGTGAATGTATAACACGTTACTAAATTTACAAAGATGGTAGTTTATAATACTGGTAAATACCTCGACTTCAACTTGAGGTATAAATATCAGATTCATAATAGACATTCAATTTGAAGCCATTCTCACAAGAAAAAAAATGATTGGGAGAACAAATAAACCCATATCTGTTTGAGGAGCTACTCTGTCTATTTGAAATGTTTACTCACTAAACTCCACAGAATGCAGAATTGATCCAATTCCCTGTGTACGGGCTCTTTTACTAATTCAGCATTTATTATAGGAGTTGACAGAAATGTCTTGACTGGATTGATTTCTTAAAATTCCAATTATGTTGAAAAAATGTATATGCTTAAGTGCTCCTTAATCATCTCAGCTTGTTCTAAGACAATGTTCTTTCTTTCTCTTTTTTCATTTGCACAGAGCTTTCCTAGAGTGTATTCAAACTCATCTGGTGTCAGCTCGATTCAGTCAGTAGCACTCTTGCCTCTATGCCAGAAGGATATGGGTTCAAGCTTCGTGTTTCGACTACTGAATAAGGTGCCATATTAAATGCAAGGATTATTATTGTTATTGTAATAATACAATAAATTTACCCTCTGTTTATTAAGATAAACCTTATCTTAATCTACAAATGCTTGAATACAATATGATATAAAATGTTTGCAAAATATTTTATGCCAAAGCTTTGTGTTTTTTTTTAAATGTTAAAGTCCCACTTACTCTGGAGGTTGCCTTTCCCTTAAACAGACACATCAGTTACAAAATATTTTTGTCTGTTTATGATCCTGCCTGGTGTGAAATGTGTCGTGTAAAGCCTGCGTGCAGAGGTAATTGACAGCTTTTAAATTTGGTATAATTACCAGCAATCACAATGTCTGTATATTAATTGGAATTATAGTGTTTAAAATACATAATTGGGAGTGCTAAGCATAATTTAATATTTAACCATCATTAAATCGGGCTATCATTGTTCCTATTTTGTTTCCTTCCGAAATTTGTCAGGAAATGTTGCATTTACAGCCTTAGGTTAAATACCCACAGGAAGGATGCAATAAATCCAATGAAGCATTTTATCTCAGAAACATGGTTGTTCACTACTAATTATATATTTTGTTAACACATGCTTCACTTTTTCCATGATTATTGCCTCAATCAGCAAACCTTCAGACACCAGAGTTCAATAAATAATGCATTATAATAACATGGAATACAGCACCAACTTTGGACATAAGCAAAAAGATAACAGCTAGATAGTCAGTAGTCAAGAATACAGAAATACATGAGCGAGAGTAGAATAGAGGATTCAGTATCTAAATCTCATAGAATTTTGTACAAATGATTTGTAAAGTGTCTCTCAGGTCTACATCTTTTAGTCTTGTCTAGAATTTTAACTGACTCATAAAACTGATGAGAAACAGATTAATCTGGAGGTTTATTCGAATGGACAAAACTCCCTTCCCTTTTTGGCTAGAGTCACATAATTTTTAATGTCCAGTTGGAGAACAGGCAGACAAGACATTGGATTAATATATGATCCAAAGGGTGGCACCTGTATCAACAAAATGCTCTCCAATACTACACTGGAATGTCAACCTAAACTGTGAGCCCAAGTTCCCATTGAACCCACAAACATTCGAACTCACAATCATCATTATAACTGCTAATCAGATTCACCAGATATGAGCAAGATATGTTTCATTCATTCTTAGCTGATCTGCTGTACTCTGTGGCGTGACTAGAATAATAGGAGCAGATGTTTACACTGCTGCTGCAGGCTGGTAGGTAAAAGGAGACTTGGCTATTCCTTGTTTAAATATTCTGAAAATTTAGACTTTTTGGTAAAACGCAAGCCACATACAGAGGATCCACAACAATTAAATCGTAATTTATTTTATTTCTCTGGAGTCAAGTAATACTTCTCACAAGCAAACTTGTATTTGCATAGAACAATCTGTTCTACTAACTCCAGCGTCCAAGCACCACTGTGAAATAAACATTATGCAGATAGTTTGAACTCTTCCCTCAATCAACATTATACTTTGTCAGAAATCATAATACATAAGCAGGAATGCAGTAATTAGAAAATCATAACTTTCAATCTCCAAAACCTGGAATATGAAACTATATTGCAATTAACTGCGAATGCAATTTACACATCCTCCTTGCACATTGTACGAAATGAAATTATTTGCTGCTGGAGTGTGATGTCTAAATAAACCAATTTGTATGTGTCATTAGATGAGCTGCTACTTTGTAATTGAGCAATAATTTTATCAGGCACGGCAATCTTCATTTTAAATTAATTTTTAAAATAGTTTATTGCTGTACTGAAAAGCAACCTTAACCAGCTTTTAATATTTAAAGTCCAGGAATTTTGGAAGCATTGATTTTTCACTGCAGTCATGCTTCTTACAGACCAAGGGGAAGATTGTAACTGTCTCAATCTGAGTTATCGTATTTTCAGCAATACGTGGAATGAATTGAGGTGAGATGCGTCCTTCATTTCCAGAGGTTAATGTGCAAAACATAACTGGGAATCTCCTGAAAAATATCTTGCACTGTATAAATATCAATATTGTGTGGGGAATGCTATGCAAGTAAATCATTTATTCTCAGGATGCCCCAAAGGGCAGCAACTTTATGCTGCTTTTACATTGCATGTAATGCAATGGATCAGTGTGATTTTGCTATTGATTCCCTATGGAAAGTGCATATGAACCATTACAAAACACCCTTGAGCTCTGTTGGAGGGGTTGGTTTTGTGAGCAGGTTGATTGTCACCCACATAAGCGCAAACACAGCAAATAAGATTTGAACTTGTGCTCACTCCCTTGCGGGCCATTGAAACCTCTCAAGAGATCCAATGGACGACTCAAGAGCTTTCAGAGAACCAATTATTAATGTTTTAAAGTGCTGATCACATGACGGCTGAAGTGCATGTGTGTAAAATTCTGCAAGCAGGTGTCAGTGTTTAACAGCCCCAATAGGAAGTATTATCGTCAACAACAACAACAACTTGTATTTATATAGCACCCTTCTTGCGGGGTAGCATCCCAGAGCACTTCCCCATGTTGACTTCCCCACTCACAACACTCTATTAATGGGGGTGCTATCACTTTACTCCCAGCAATCCAGCCATTAAACCATTAAAAACTAGGAGACACTCTGTTTATAACATATAGAATTATGTGGCATTGCAGATACATAAAAATGTCCTTGATATAATATTACTACATGTTCTTTTGTACCGAGTAATCTACTGGCAAAGAAACTACTGCCAAACCAGGTAGTGACAATGCTGAAATGAAACACATCTTCAGAATTTATGTCATAGTGGGCCTTAAATCTTTTGGCAACATTTCCACATGTCACTTTTATACAGGCAGATTCAACGCACCTACTGTCTGAAGAGGATAGCATACAGTATAGTGTTGCATGCAACCAGAACTGACAGTGAGCTCAAGGCTATAACCTACTTTCAGTAGGTCTCCTGAAGTTCATGAAATACTTCAGTCTTGCTTTCACAGTGACACTATCAGAACTGCTTAATTAAATCTCAACCTTCTAACTCATTATTGTTCAGCAACTTCTCTCAGTAATGTGATTGTAGTTTATTAGAAGTATTGCATTGGCATTGTTGAGTTTTCTTTTGTAAAATACGCTCTATGGGACGTCCTCCCGATGTGAAAGGTGCTCTATAAATGTAATTTTGCTGTTGTTGTTATATGGACGTTGAACTTACAGTCTAGGCTGCTACACCAATGCAGTGCTGGAGGCATACTGTATTGTCTGAGGTGAAGTCTTTGGATGAGATGTTAAACCAAAGTCCCATCTGCTTGTTCAGGAGGACATTAACGAACCCATGGCACAAAAGGAGTTTCTCTCGGTGTCCTGCCAACAATCCCCCAGATAAAATTGATCATTCAAATCTTGGCTGTTTGCAGGACATTGCTGCGTTTGCCTACAAAATGCATAGTCACTACAGTCTGGAATAAATGCTGTGAAGTGCTTTCATGCATTTCAACAACATGATAAGGCATTATATCAAATGCAAGAATGATGCTTATTATTATAATCTTCCAATGTAACCCAGACTGGGACCAACAAACTCAACACAGATCAGGATTCAAACCAATAAACCAATGGTCCCTAAATGAAGTTGTATCCACTACACCATTGGGGGCTCTTCACTACCATCAGAGCCATAAAAAAGGAAACAAATCACACTAGAAGGAAGTGAGAGTCAAAACACCTTTGGGACAAGAGGAGAAATGGGGAGAAAATGGAGAGAAAAAAATCTGCCTGTATTATTTTTGTAATGTATCTTTGTACTATTGTTAATGCATTTCACTTGCACCTGTAGTGCTTTATCTTATTTCACAATAAGCATGGCACAAAAGAATCATATCCTTAACAAACTGAATGTAGTCCACACCAGGGTAATCAGCCTCCAACTTCTGTCATTGTTCCTTCAAATCAAAGGGATAAAAAAAAGCACATAATTGTCACTCAGAGAAGGCTCTAAGCGATAATGCTCTCAATTCATACATTTGATGTAGAATTTCTTCCTGAGAAAGTACTGTAATTACAAACAACTGCATTCTTGTTCCCCGTGTAGTTTATTTTTAAAAGAAACATACAAAAATCACATACACCTGCAACTAATTGCTGATGATAATAGTTTTGGATTTCTATTCAGGCTTCAATCAGATTTTAACACAATCATTCTTTTTCAGCAATCATGCTATTTGCAGTAGTTTCACTGAGGTAAATGCTATAAGATTCTAATGCTATTTGGAAATACTTACCTTCCTTTGATGTGTCCTCCCAAGCTTTGTCCCTATTCCTGATCACTATGAAGCATCAGCTGATTAATAATGATAAGTTACATTTGTACAGTGCATTTCATGTCAGGAGGACATCCCAAGTCGCTGAACAGTCAGGGATTTGGACTCGAGCAGGGGGTTGGGATCAGAAGGTGTGGAGGCCAGGGAAGGTAGGGGTAGGAGGGTGACCGAAGGCGTAGTCGAAGAGAAAGAGAGAGGCTGAAGGCCCCACCTACAATGGTGGTGTGGGCTGGGCGGAGGATATGGCCGGAACATGCTGAGCGAAGGGAATGGACAGGCTGATATGGGATGGCAGATCACAGAGGTAAGAAGGACCAAGGTCATGGAGGGCTTTGAAGGCAAGATTATAGTTCCACACATTTCACATATTCCCTTGAATACAGGTTTATCGGCTATATAGTCCTTCCTCCTCTTTTCATCCCTATTTACTCACTGCGTCAAAACCAAAACTAATCACAACTTCTCTCATCTTAACATTTTCCTCACCCAAAAAACAGAAACTCTTCCTCAATCTTCCCTTCCTCAGTCTGACATTCAACAAACTTCCCTTGCTCAGTCTTTTAAAACATTGATTTTTTTATGTAGCATCTAGCTTCATCTAGTTCTTGATTTATCTTGTTTTCTCCTATTCTTTTCAGTCTTCAAAGATTTCGTAGACAGTGAGCCCTGAGCTCTCATCCAGATCTTTCA